GAAGCTAACAAAACACGGTCCCTACAAAGTTGGAGGACCTGAATCATCAATTCCCTTAATTATTTTACAAAACACGTCCACTTCATTTTTACACCAAACCCTATCCCTTTCATACGATCGAAGCCGAGGCGCGCCACTGCCCGTTTCAGTTCGAAGCCCACACTTCCAACCGGCCAAAGGTCAGCCTTGACACCCCCAAACCGTAGGTAAGCTTCCATTCAACCTTAATCATCAATTTATTCTTCAAAAACCGCATGGGGCAGTGACCATTCTTGCAATTTTTTTCAGCGAAAAATTGAAGTGTGGGGACCACAATCTTCTAAAATTTATTCGATATGTCTGATGTGGAGGAACAAGATGAAGGTTAGCATGCTGGTTTTAACGTTTTTTGTCTGTATTGTTACTTTGGACAGATTTTGGGTCCACTGTAATTGATTCTATTTGTGTTGAAATTGAATAAAGTATCTATTCTTTTTGGTCAGTTCACGTGTGTCTCGGCCTCTTATACCTCCAGCGTCCTCTGGCACACAGTTTTGATTGCCCTGTATTTGTGTCCTTCCCACTGCTCAATGCATGCATGTTCATCTCATCTTCTTCATTTAGCTTGCATTTAGATCAATAGATTCATTATTTTCTATGAATCCAACACTAGAATCAGAGGCTTTAACCCATACATTATTGTCTCTTCCTACAGATTCTTATTTTTCACTGTACAGTAAGCTAATTCTGTTTTATAATCTCATATTCTTTAGGTGATTTGAACAGTTCTTCGGATAAAGAAGATGCCACCTTCAACGATTCTGATTATAGCCTTGGTGAAGAAGTTGTAATTTACATTGTTATAGCGAATGTTGTATTCTGGGGAAACACATCTATTTTTTGGTGAACTGTGGAATATTTTGAGTTGTTGTATGCTATGAAGTTGTAATGTAAATTGTTGTGGTGAAAATGTTGTATGTTTTGATGAAATTGGTGTTTTATATGGTTGGTAAAAAACAGGTTATTAGTTATGATTGGTTGAAAAAAAATGGAAGAAAAACAGGCAAAAAATGTTTTTGAACAAACTCAGGAAATTTTTATTTTTTGGACTAAAACAGGTTAGACAGACGTCAATTTGTTATTTTAATAATTAAGGAAATTGTAATTCAGGTCCTCCAACTTTGTAGGGACCGTGTTTTGTTAGCATCAGTTTCAATTAGAGCAAAAAGGTCCACAAACTTACCTCAGTGACCATTTTTGAAAGTAGCTGAAAGTTGAGTGACCGTTAATGCAAGTTTGGAACTTCAGTGACCATTTTGTTATTTTATTGTAACTTCAGTGACCATTTGTGAAATTAACCCGATTTCTTTTTCCTTTTCCAACAAAATTGGAAGTTTGAGCTAGTTTTTGATATTAGGTTGTAAAGGTGTGGTTTTCTTAAGGTGTAAATGTTGTCTATTTTCTTTTGATTATGAGAGATGGGGTGGAGCCAAAAATTATGAGAGAAGGTGTATAATATATATGTTTATCTCAAGAATATAATATCCTTTTATAATCCTTAGTTTTAGAATTTAACTCATACCTTTACAGATAAGATCTCATTGATATTTATGGTTCACTTCCTTTAAATGAATAAGTTAAGATTTAGTCTATATTATTTTTTGTAGATATGTTTATATAAACTTTTATTAACTACTAGTTTTTGCCAGTGCAATGCACGGGCTGTATTATTTTGAAGGTCATGTTAGTGTGTTAAATATGTAAAATTATGTTAAATTAT